TTTTTTGTTGGTAATTTTTTTTATGACTTGTTGAATTTCTTCTTTTGTTATGGGTCTGTCCACGTTTTCTACCTCAGCCTGTGTTAGTTTAGGTAAGTAGTGTGTTTCTAGAAATTCATTTCTTCTAGGTTTTGAAATTTGTTAGAGTACAGTTCTTCAGAGTGTCCTGATGCTATTATTTTTATTTCAGTTGGTTCTGTTGTGATGTTGCCCAGTTCATTTCTTGTTTTATTTACATTTTCTCCTTTTCTTTTAAGTTTGCCAATGGTTTGTCAATTTTGTTAATCTTCTCAAAGGACCAACTTTTAGGCTTATTAATTTTTATCTATTGTCTTTCTATTTTCTGTTTAATTTATTTCTGCTCAAATCTAATTGTTGGAGATGTTGGGTTAAGGTGTTACTTTTTGGCTCTTCTTTTTTGATGTGTGCATCTATTGGTATCAGTTGCCCTCTGATCATTGCTTTTGCTGTGTCCTAAAGATTTTGGTATGTTGTGTTTTCATTCTCATTGATTCAAGGAAGTTTTTAATTCTTCTGTTACCCATTAGGGTAGTAGAAGGATGTTCTTCAGTTTCCATGTGTTTGCTCTTTTTCCATTGGTCTTTCTAGTGTTAATTTATAATTTTATAACATTGTGATCTGAGAAGATGCTTTACAATATTTCAGTGTTTTTAAATTCATTGAGACTTGCTTTGTGGCCTAACATATGGTCTATCTTGGATAATGTTCCATGTGCACTGGAAAAGAGTGTATGTTTTGCTGATGTTGGGTGAAGTGCTCTGTAGATGTCTATAGGGTCAAGTTGGTTGATCGTGTTGTTTGTTCCTCTGCATGTTTGTTAAATTTCTTTCCATTTGTTCTGTCTGTGATTGAAAGTGGTGTGTTAAAGTCTCCTACAATTACTGTGGATTCATCTGTTTGTCTTTTCAGTTCTGTTAAAGTCTGATTTATATATTATGGGGCTCTTTCATTGGGTGTGTAGATAATTATTATGGTTATGTCCTCTTGTTCAGTTGATCCTTTAATCATTATATGATGTCTTTCCTTGTCTCTTACGGTGGTTTTTGTCTTAAAGTATACTTTATCAAAAATTAGTATTGCCACTCCTGCTCTTTTTCGGTTGCCATTTGCTTGGTATATCTTTTTCCAACCTTTGATTTTTACTTTGTTTTTCTCTCTGTGTCTAAGGTGAGTTTCTTGTAGACAGCATGTTGATGGGTTATCCATTCTGCAACTCTCCATCTCTTGAGCGGCACATTTACTCCATTGACATTCAGTGTAATTACCGACATATGAATTTATTGATGTCATTTTGTTATGTGTTTTTTTGGTGTTGCTGATTTCTTTGTTCCATATAATTTTCTATACTGAGCTCATTTTGTTTATGAATCTCATCTCCTTTGTTGCTGTTGTTTTAGTATTTGCTCAATATTTGTGTTTGTCCTCTTTATTTTGATAGAAAGGTTTATTATTTTTCTTTGAGGTTACCCTGTGATTTATTATTTTCTTCCCAAGTTTAAAACAATCTGTTCCGTCTCGCAGTTGTCTTGACTTGCTAACCATTTAGAATTCTATAACTATACTAGTTATTCACTCTGTTTGGTCTGTAGTTGTCCTCATTTACCAATTGATGTCTCTGCTTCCCTGTGTACAGTCTTAAATAAGTCCAAAGCTTATTTTACTTTGGACTTCTATAACTGGGTTGGTTTCTGAGTTATGTCATCGTGTGTGTTAATCATTGGTGGTGGTTTGCTTTTGGTTTTCTAGCAGAGGGACTCCATTTAGTATCTCTTGTAAGGCTGGTCTAGTTTTAACAAATTCGCTTAATTTCTGCTTATCTAGAAATCTCCTGATATCACTCTCATATTTGAGGCACAGTTTTCCTGGGTATACAATTCTTGGTTGGGTTATAAAACCTCTTTCAGGGTTTTATGTATACCATCCCATTGCCATCTCGCCTGCGTGGTTTCTGCTGAGAAATCAGAGCTTAGTCTAATTGGTTGCCCATTGTAGGCAACTTTTTCATTTTTTCCATGCTGCTTTCGGGATTCTTTGTCTTTGGTTTTGGTGAATTTGATTATGATATGTCTTGATGATTTTCTTTTGAGTTTTACCCTGTTTGGGGTTTTTTGAACTCCTTGAATGGATGTATTCGCATCTTTCATCGTATCAGGGAAATTCTCTTCTAAGAAATCTTCGACAATTTTCTCTGTGTTTTTATTTGTCTCTTCCTGTATTGGAATTCTGATTACATGTAGGTTATTCTTTTGATGGTATCCCACATGAACCTTAGGCTTTCTTCATTTTGTTTTGATCTTTCTTCTGATTGATCCCTTAACAAAGTAGTATTGAGGTATTTGCCTTCAATCTCATTAATTCTGTCTTCCATTGATTCGATTCTACTCCTTTGCCAGTTCAGTGTGTTACCTGTTTCTGAAATTTTAGTTTTAATCTTCTGAATTTTACTGATTTTTTATTTTGTCAATTTGTTCTTGTACTGTTTTCCCAAATTGTTCTAGAGTTTTATCTGTGTTTTTCTTGATTTTGTCAGTGTTTTCTTTGATCTGTCTCTCAATCTGTTGAAGGTACCCAAATATAATTCTTTTGAATTTCTTATCAGGGAGTTCCAATGCTGCTGCTTCTCACAGATGTTTTTTGGGTTTGTTTTCTGCTACTTGTTTCTGTTACCTTATCTTGCTTCTTTGTGGACTGTGATAGTCTGTTGTCTCCAAGACATTGTGGTAGTGTTATATTTATGCTTAATTTGTGGTAGTATGTTGGTGTGATGCGCCCAAGATTTTTTTCCCCCCTTTTTTTTGATGTATCTGTGTGAGCAGGGTACTGTGCTCCACTTTCGCTAGTTGTTAGCACTTAGTTACTAGCCACCTGTCTCCTGGTGAGTGTGATAGAGAATGAGCTTGTGTGCACAGATCTCCGTTAGCTGTTTGTAAGGAGAAATTGAGAGTGAGTTGAGCTGGTATTGGCTGCTGTCTGTTTTTGGTCAGTTGGTGCAAAAGCAAGTGGTGGACCTCACTCAGTGGGTGCTGCAGGAGGTGCAGATATGGTTGGGTTGGGTTGGAACAGTTGCTGTCTTCCACTGCGTTAAACCAAAAAAACCAAACTCACTGCCATTAAGTCATTTCCAACTAATAGCTACCTCCATTGGGTTTATGAGATAACAAATCTTTACAGAAGTAGATCGCCCAGTCTTCCCTCTGGGGAGCAGCTGGTGAGTTTGAACTGCTGACCTTCCCATTAGCAAAACCAAATCAAACTCAACTGCCATCGAGTCAGATCTGACTCATAGCATCCCCTCCTTGGGTTTCGAAGGTAGTATCACAATGGGAGTAGATTGCCCAATCTTCCAGTCAGGTGCCTTATCCACTAAGCCACCAGAGCTCCTCCACTCACACAGACAGCAAAAATTAAAAAGCCACCAAAAAAAAAAAAAAAATGAGAACCAAAAACTCACACTGCATAAACAAACAGGAACAATATTGCAAAAAAAGAAATGGAGTAAATTGAAAACAATTTTCAAAATATATTAAAAAAGGATAAAAGAATGATGAGAAAAAAAGCCACAATACCTGGGGAAGGAGGAATGAGAGAAAACAGGAAGAGTAAAAGAATAGTGAGAAAAAAAATGGGAAAACTGTGGAAGGGGAAACAAGGGACGGGAAGAACCAAAAGGAAAAAAAAAGTGAACCAAGAATAGGGAAGAGAAGAAAAACCAAAAAACAAGAACCAGCGATGGGAAAGAGGGGGGAAAAAAAGAGGAAGAAAGGAAGAAGATAAACAAAAAATTTAAAAACAAAACTGTTGGGGGAAGGGCATGGTACCCAGGCTCTGTCAGGGAACAGACTGGAATAGAATTCCTGCTGGCCAAGAAGGTGGGTGGAGACGGGGTGGCTGTACCTCTGTTCAACCAAAAATGTGTGGAGTGTAAGAGAAACAAGGGAAATAACGCACCTTTCCAGTCATCAGCCTCTAGTGAGGTGGCCTTTGCTGTCCTTGGCAAGTGAAGCCCACTCCTATGTCACCGTCCGGGTAAGAACACCACTTGCATATATTCCAGATGATCGCACCTTCTGCCGCTTACAACTGTTCAAAACGACTGCACCCTCAGGACGGCCTCTGCAGTCCACAGGCCTTGTGTGTCTCCTTTTTTGCTGCTTTCCTTTGTGGCTGTCAGGCAGCAATGCAGTCCTTGCCCATGTGGTCTTCAGTGAGCAGAGCCAGTTCTTAGGTTGCTACTGGGAAACACTCAAAATGGCTGTGCCCTCAGGACAGCCGTCAGTCCACAGCTCCATTTGTCACATTATTCTCTGTTTTCATTCAGCTTCTGCTACTAATTGGTACTGAATCTACCTCTTTATCCTTCCCTTCAAAGCTCAGGGTTCCAAGATCATCTGAATTGGTTACAGTTGATTTCTCATTGCTTTGTTGCAGAGGGTCTGTGTAGCTGGTCTGCCTATTCTACCTTCTTACTGGAACTCCATATATTCTTTTTATACATAGGAGCTCTGGTGGTGTAGTGCCTAAGGCATTTGGCTGCTAATCAGAAGGCTGGTAGTTCAAACCCACCAGCTGCTCCTCGGAAGGAAGGTGGGCAGTCTACTTCTATAGTGATACTGCCTCAGAAACCCGAGGGGTGAATGTTTGTTGTGTAAATACTTCAAATCTACAAACCAGATTATAGTGTTAAGAATATGTACTTAACAGTGGTGACACCAGGTGTTTATTAACTTTTTGAATGCAGTCATACCTCATTTATAATCACCCTTTGAGTTATATGCTAACCAGCAAAGTTGAATAAAGTCCAGTTCATGTCTCCTGATTATCAGTTTACTGTTTTTTCCACAAGAGGGTGCTGTTGGGTAAAGGCTCTTCAAAGTGAACTAACCTTAATGGGCTGCTTTTGAATAAGAATGTAACTCTGTAAAAACCCAGGAAGACTATTGTAGTATTTTGTATATAATTATGCATTAAGAGTGTACAACAGTGAAATAAGCCTGGCTAGGTGCTAGATAAATCTCTTAGGGCTCTATGGATTATTTGGGGGCAGAGGTAGGGATTGTTTAATATAGGCAGACAAAGATGATGGTAGAAGATAATTACAGTGATTGTAAATGTGAGAAGGCAGTGTCATGGAATTCATTGTTTTAGGTTGGAAGCGTGACAAAATGACCTTTCAAGTCTCTTACAAATTACAACTATGATAAATTATATCTTTAGGGTTTTAGTCCAGAAACACAATAGTTGCAAGATACTTGTAATTTTTTCTTTTGCTGACATTTCTGGTTTAGCCTAATCTTTAGTCTAAAGCTCATATCATTTGTTCAAAGTCACAAGAAGGAAGACTGAATTGATTTAACGAAGGGAGAATGAAGATCAGGGAACTCTTTGAGATTTCTTTGACTCTAACTTGAATTTAGCTCAATAAAGTGTAGGGAAGGTGTTTCATCTTGTTAAAGTAAAGAACTAGCAACAGTTTGACTTTGATTATTCTTGTTTGAAGCCATCAAGCCAGCGTGCAGGTAGAGTCATTGCAGGAGCAACTGAACGTCGTCTCTAAGCAGAGGGATGAAACTGCCCTACAGCTCTCTGTCTCACAGGAACAAGTAAAGCAGTATGCTCTGTCACTCGCCAACCTGCAGATGGTACTAGAGCATTTCCAACAAGGTAAGTTGTGTGGTCAGTCTTTCAGTGAAAACAAATGATGGTTGGGGTTTTGCTGTATTTGAGTGCTGTTTTAGATCAGGTCTGGGGAAGTCTTTGGAAGGTTACCCATACGTTGGAGAAAAATAAATGGCTATTGAGAAGTTAACTTAGACTCCTTTTACGAATAAGACTGGAGAACATAAATGATATTTAGTGATTATTAAAGCTGTTGTAGTATCCTCTTATTACCAGTTAAGGTAACAGTTGAGCAAATATAAAGAGAAAATGAAAAAGGATGGTGATGTGATAAAGGGCTGATAACAAAGAAGAGAGAGACGCACACTGGAAACGATGGTTGGGTTTGGAGATACTGGCTGGAGGTTCGACACACTTCAGAGTGTTCATCAGTAATTACTGTCTTTGGAAATATTGATTAACTTGTTCTTGACTATTCATCTATATGCTGAAGTAATTACATTTTCTAATCCAGGTGGAAAATACTTTTCTGGAGTCATAGTCATAGTGACGAGAGCAGTTTTACCCTGAGAATCAAATAGGCTTTTTCACCTCCAACCTCCCAGCCTCACGTTAACCCCCTTTAGACAATTCATGCCCTGTTTGTTTGTTTGTCCATTCAGTAATTATTCAGCATCTCTTAGCTCGGCACTGAGTTAACTGCTGGTGGTAGTGGTGATTAAGGGAGTATGAGGAGAAGGAAGTGACGGGACTTGCAGGTTCTTGCCCAAGCCACACTTTAAATTTTTCCATGTTGTAGTAGATCTTCAGGGTGACTCATAGTGTTGGAATCTTGGATTTTGAATGGAAGCATTCTCTAGATCTGCTCTACAGAATACCATCAATACTAGAACGACTTGTGTACAGAGCAGTATGGGACTGAGGCCATAGACAAAATGCTGCCAAAGGAGAAGTATTTGAGTGGCATTCTGAAGGGACAGGGGAATTTGCAAGGTGGGTGAGGTGGAGCAGGATTTAGGCAGAGGAAGCAGTGCTCTCATTACTTTGATGCCACTTAACGTCACCACTAAGGCATATATAATTTTCTTGTAAAGAAACATTCGATTTATGTAAAGTTTTATTCCGGTTACTTTCTGTCGAATGACATATTTTGAATAAGTAATTTCCTTGACAAGGGAAAAATATATAGAAATCTCCCTGCAGTTAATTTGTTGTGTGCATATTTTAAAACTAGAGGTGGAATTTCTACAGATTGATGATCAGTGGAACTCATGGCCCACTAATGTGTTAGATGTGCTGTAGCTGAAGTTACGTTTGTCTTTTAAAAACACTATTTTAAAGTTCTCAACAAACATGCCTGTTGCTGCCAGTGCAGATAACCGGGAGGGACCCTCAGGCACAGTCTGGCTGATGCACAGTGCTAATGCTGATGCCTTTTTCACCTGTGGTCACCTTCTGTTTGCACACCTTCCCTTCCCGAGTCCGAGTTGCCAGCACCGTGGAGAGCCTGCTTCATCCCGTGGTCCAAAGAATGAGGACTGCACCTCCTCACTGCATTGAGCTTCAATCTTTCAATACCTGTGAATGTAAAATATATAAATACCTAAACCTGCAACTTTATGCCTGTAGTACAGCCTTTTGAATTAGTTGTGTGCATAGATGGTTCAAGGAGCCCTGGTGACACAGTGGTTCAGGTACTTGTCTGCTAACCACATGTTGGCAGTTCGAAACTACTGGCTGCTCGATGGGAGAATTACAAGGCAGTCTGCTTCTGTAAAGATTTATAGCCTTAGAAAGCGGGCGGGAGCAGTTCAGCTCTGTCCCACGGAGCTGCTATAAGATCGCTGTAAGTTGGAATTGACTCTCTGGCAGTGGGTTGATGGTGTTGATGTTAAAACCAAAACCAAACTCACTGCCACTGAGACAAATCTGACTCATAGTGACCCCTCCTAGGGTCTCTGAGACGGTGTCTCTACGGAAGTAGATTGCCCAGTCTGCCTTCTGAGGAGTGGCTGGTGGGTTTGAACCGTCAGCCTCAGGAGGCCGTTAGCAGTCAGATGCCTTAGGTACTACAGCACCAGAGCTCCCTTGTTGATGTTAGGTACTGTCAGATCAGTTCGACTCATAGCGACCCTGTGTACAAAGAATGAAACACTGCCTGTCCTGCGCCGTCTTCACCGTCCTTGCTGTGTTTGAACCATTGTCACAGCCACTGTGTCAGTCCATCTCATTGAGGGCCTTCCTCTTTTTCCCTGACCACCTACTTTGTCAACCACATTGTACTTCTGCAGGGACTGGCCCTTCTGATACGGGTCCAGAGTATGTGAGATGAAGTTTTGCCATTCTCACTTCTAAGGAGCCTTCTGGTTTTATTTCTTCCAAGATGGATCTGTTCATTTTTCTGGAAGTCTGTGGTATGTTCAATATTCTTCACCAACCATAATTCAAAGGCATCTGTTCTTTGACCTTATTCGTTGTCCAGCTTTCACATGCATATCAGGTGATTGAAAATACCATAGCTTGGGTCAGGCACTCCTTAGTCATCAAAGTGATATCTTTGCTTTTCACCACTTTAAAGAGGTTTTTTTGCAGCAGATTTGACCAATGCAATATGCTGTTTGATTTCCTGACTGCTACTTCCATGGGGACCATGAATCCAAGTGAAATGAACTCCTTAACAGTGTTAATCTTTTCTCTGTTTATCACGATGTTGTTTATTGGTCCAGTTGTGAGGATTTTTGTTTTCTTTACGTTGAGATGTAATGCATACTGAAGGCTTGTAGTCTTTGATCTTGGTCAGTAAGTGCTTCAAGTCCTCTTCACTTTCAGCAAGCAAGCTTGTGTTATCTGCGTATTGCAGATTGTTAGTCAGTCTTCCTTCATTCCTGATGACACGTTCTTCTTCATATAGTCCAGCTTCTCAGATTATTTGCTCAGCATACAGATAAAATAAGTACGGTGAAAGGGGATAACCCATATGCACACCTTTTCTGATACTAAACCACACAGTATTCCCTTGTTCTGTCTGCGTGACTGCTTCTTGATCTAGATACAGGGTTGGTAGAGATACTTACATTTTTCATGTAAAAGTGAGAAAAGAAAAGCATTTGAACAAGTCTGTTGAATTATTAAAATGGCAAGTGGTTTAAAATTCCATTTATGGTACACAATTGCACAATTGCAAAATATTAATATAACTTTTTTTTTTCCCTCTTCAGAGGAAAAAGCTATGTATTCTGCTGAGCTAGAAAAGCAAAAACAGCTTGTAGCTGAATGGAAGAAAAAGGCAGAAAACCTAGAAGGAAAACTGGTATCATTACAGGTAAGTCAAAAGAACGTTTTCTTGTCCATTTTGTTATTCATGAAACACTTACTTTATAGTACAGTCTTTGGAAATAATGTCTTAAGCCATTTATTTAGTGTATGTTGTTGGAGTGGCTCATCTACCTTCAGCCCAATACTGAGGCGTAACAGTGAGCAGGATTTCCCTCTTGTAATTTATAGTCTAGTGGTGGTATTGTCAGGGACTGTCAAGTCAGTTCGGACTCATCGCAACCCTGTGTACAATAGAACGAAACACTGCCCAATCCTGTGCCAGCCTCACAATCTTTGCTATGCCTGAGCCCATTGTTGCAGCGCCTTCCCCTTTGTCATTGACCCTCCACTTACCAAGCATGGTATCCCTCTCCAAGGAATGGTCCCTTCTGACAACATGACCAAAGTAGGTGAGACAAAGTCTGGCCATTCTCGCTTCCAAGGAGCGTTCTGGCCACACTTCTTCCTGGACAGATTTGTTTGTTCTTCTGGCAGTCCATGGTATCTTCAGTATTCTTCGCAAACATCACAACTCAAAAGAATCAACTCTTCTTCAGTCTTCTTATTCATTGTCCAACTTTCACATGCATATGACACAATTGAAAACACTATGGATTAGGTTAGGTGCACCCTAGTCTTCAAAGTGACATCTTTGCTCTTTGACATTGTAGCAGATTTATTCAGTGCAATACGATGTCTGAGTTCTTGAGTGCTGCTTTCGTTGGTCTTAATTGTGGATCCAAGTAAACTGAAATCCCTGGTAACTTCAGTCTTTTCTCCATTTATCATGGTGGTGCTTATTGGTCCAGTTGTGAGGATTTTCTTTTTTTTTTATGTTGAAGTGTGATCCATACTGAAGACCATAGTCTTTGATCTTCACCAGTAAGTACTTCAAGTAATCTTCACTTTCAGCAAGCAAGGTTGTGTCATCTGCATATTACAGGTCGTTAATGAGTCTTCCTCTAGTCCTGATGCCATGTTCTTCTTCATTTAGTCCAGCTTCTCAGATTATTTGCTCAGTATACAGATTGAATATGTATGGTGAAAAGATACAACCCTGACATACACCCTTGCTGATATTAAACCATGCAGTATCCCTTGTTCTGTTCAAACGACATGTTCTTCATGAGCACGATTAAGTGTTCTGAAATTCCCGTTCTTTGTAATGTTATCCATAATTTGTTATGATCCACTCAGTCTAGTGAGACACAGCTAATGTGAGGTAAAAGGACATTTTAGGGGAGGCAGGACTCCCCCCTGCCCCTTAGAGGCAGGAAGGGGAGGAAGTGCAGCCGGAATGCTCCTTGGAAGTGAGAATGACCAGACTTTGTCTCACTTACTTTGGTTATGTTGTCAGAAAGGACCATTCCCTGGAGAAGAAGGTCATACTTGGTAAGGTGGAAGGTTGATGAAAGAGGGGAAGGCCCTCAACAAGATGGATTGACACAGTGGCAACAGTGATGGCCTCAAGAATAGCAAGGATCATGGAGCTGGCACAGGACCAGGCGGTGTTTTGTTCTGCTGTGCATGGGGTTGCTGTGAGTTGGAGACAACTCGATGGCACCTAACAACAAAAACAACAGGACATTTTTTAATTTTTTAAGCAAACGTGGGTATTTTAGAGAGCTCTGAAACAAACTCAAATACTCTAAAATGTTCACTTTATAATGAATTTTTCACCAAAATATACTGAGCACATTATAGTTCTCATGGATCAAAATAAAGTAATAGTGCTGGAATATTGATATTAATGATATCAGTGTTGTTAATATCACATGCAAGTAAAATTTTGCTGAAGAGAATTAAAAAATTACTGCAGTGGTATATTGACGGGGAACTGCCAGAATTCCAAGTCAGATTCGGAAGAGGATGTGTCAAGGGATATCATTGCTTGATGTCAGATGGATGTTGGATAAAAACAAAGAATACCAGAAAGATGCTACCTGTATTTTATTGACTCTGCACAGGAATTTGACTATGTGGATCACATCAAATTATGGGTAACATTACAAAGAGTAGGAATTCCAGAACACTTACTTGTGCTCATGAGGAACCTATAAATAGACCAAGCAACAGTTGTTTGAACAGAACAAGGAGATACTGCATAGTTTAAAATCACAAAAGGTCTGTGACAGGGTATCCTTTCACCATACTTATTCAATCTGTATACTTAGCAGTTAATCTGAGAAACTGGACTATGTGAAGAATGTGGCATCAGGATTGGAGAAAGACTTATTAACTGCCTGCTATTAGCAGATGACACAACTTGCTGAAAATGAAGATGACTCAAAGCACTTAACTGATGGAAATCAAAAACTACAGCCTTCAGTATGGATTACATCTCAACATAAAGCAAGCAAAAATCCTCACAGTTGAACCAATAAGCAACATCATTATAAACAGAGAAAAGATTGACATTGTCAAGGATTTCATTTTACTTGGATACACATTCATCATCATGGAAGTAGCAGTCAGGAAATCAAAGGCTGTATCACACTGGGCAAATCTATTGCAAATCTTTAACGTGTTCGAAAGCAGAGCTGTCACTTTGAGGACTAAGATGTGCCTGACCAGAGCTGTGGTGGTTTCAATAGCTCACATGCATGCGAAAGCCAGGCAGTGAATAAGGAGGATCACAGAAGATTTGGGGCACTTGAATTGTTGTTGAATTGTGGTGTTGGCGAAGAATACTGAAGGTACCATGGACCACTAGAAGAACGAACAAATCTCTTTGGGAGGAAGTACAGCTGGAATGCTCCTTAGAAGTGAGAATGGGCAGACTTCATCTCTCATACTTTGGAGATGTTATCAGAAGCGACCAGTCCCTGGAGAAGTATATCATGCTTGGTAAACAAGTTCAGGAAAAAAGAGGAAGACCTTTAATGAGATGGATTCACGCAGTGGCTGTGATGATAGGCTGTAGCATGATAGCAATTGGAAGAATGGTGCAGGCCCAAGCAGTGTTTTGTTCTGTTGTACGTATGGTCACTATGAGTTGGGAGCAACTCAACGGCACCTGACAACAACAACAGAAATAACTTACTAAATTTTTTTATTTGCGGCATCACACCTTAATATGTGTATATACATTGTTATTAAGTCATAGATAGGCCGGCAATTGCTGGTGGAAAAGAATAAAATTCACTTACCTGTTATTAGTGGTGAATTAGCTATTCAAGAGCACTAGTATCTCAAACCCACCAGCCGCTTTGTGGAAGGAAGGTGGGGCAGTCTACTTCTGTAAAGATTTACTGACTTGGAAAGCCAGTGGGGAGTTGCAATGAGTTGGAATCGACTTAGTGGCAGTGATATTATTTGAGTATCTCAAATAAATGAAGATATATTTGCTTTAGAGTTTTACAATTTTTATGAAATATTGATTGGCTACAAAACAGTTGAGAAGAAGGAATTAATAATGATAAAAGTTTAAATTGATGAGATAAAAAACAAGTAGCAGAAAAAAATAACCAAATCTAAATGCTGATGTTTGGAAGTCTTAGTAGAATTTAAGCTTAAATTATTTTAGAAGTTTAAATTCTACAAAGTTTCAACAGAATCATTTGAAATTTTAAATATTTAAATTTCCTGTATACTTAATTTTGAATAATGAATTTTTTAATTGTTCTGTATATTGAAGTTCAACCAGAGATGCAGAATCCGTTGATAAGTAATTAACATATGTATATTACATACACTGTATGGATCGTTCTGTTGTGCATAGGGTCGCTGTGAGTCAGCATCAACTTGTTGGCACTAACACCATAAAGATGGAACTACACCGTCAGCTACACTGTATGGATATGCACATAGACACAAGATTTATTACAAGGAGTTGGCTTACGTGATGGTGAGGGCTGCCTAAGCAAGTCCAAAATGAGTAGGACTGGCAGTCAAGAGGAGAAGGTCAGGGGCAGGCTGAAACTCATGGGCATAGGCAGAAGCGGCTCTCCACAAGGAGGGGTCCGGGAAGGAAGTTCACAGGATGGAGCTCCATGGACCAAAGGTGGAGGGGCAGGGAAGGAGACGCACACAGGATGGAACTCCATGGGCCAATGCTGCTGTGTGCAGGAGGAATTTATTTATTTCAAGGAAGCCTCGGCCCTGCTTTGAAGGCCTTTCACCTGGTTCAGTCTGGCCTGCCCAGATTATCCTGGATACCCTGCCTTCCTTAAATTGATGGGATTAGGGGCTTTGATTACCTGAAGTAAAATATGTCAGGGCAACATTCAGATTGTTTAAATAACTGGAGATTGCAGCCTAGCCAAGGTGACACATCAAAAAAGCTACCATGCTATGGCAGAAGTTGACTGAAAAAGATTAAAATAGATATGTATAAATGTATATTATATATGTCTAGTGGATAAACCTTATGAGGCTGATTAAAGCACCCAGCAACAGCAAAATGAAGGCTAATGTGTTATTTAAACTATTCCAAAACACGATTATAGATGGAAAGCTCCTGAATTCACTTTGTGAAACTAATAAACTACTAAAAAAGAAAACTATATGGAATATATATGACATATGGTAATACTGACACATAATAATGTAATAAACACAGACTATATAGTTTGTGTTATATTTATTATGTACTGTTTTCCTTTATCTTTTAAAATAAACTTTCCTTCTGTAAAGGAACGTTTGGATGAAGCAAATGCTGCATTGGATTCAGCATCAAGACTTACAGAACAGTTAGATCTGAAGGAAGAAGAAATCGAAGAACTTAAAAAACAAAGTAGGTTTTTTTTTTTCCCTCTGAGACTTATATTAGAATCAAAAGTAGTCTTCCTCTGTGCACTGGTGTAGTTAAGTAAGACCAAATTCAGTAAGTGCAATTTCCATTGCCATCTCCCATGACCAAGTTGCTTCAATTTGAGAATGGTTCTTAAATTTCTGTCCAGTTAGCTTTTCTGGATAATGAAGCAATCTGGTTGTGTTGGCTGTCACCCCATTGACTATCAGTGCTCATTGACTAATCTGACATTTTATGGTTGTGACTTCTCCCTTATCAGTCCGTGTTCATCCTACCTAAAGCTGTCTGATCTGTGGGAGAGGGCAGTACTGGCAAGTGCAAGAATAATGAAAAGAATGTTGGAGGTACAACTCACTTTTCATGCTTGCATAGAGTACTCTACGTACAGGCGCTCACCATCTGTCTTTTGATGGCTTGCATGACATTTCATTAATCCTGTCAGTTGCCTAAGGTGAGCTGGACCTCAGGTAATCAGGTGGTTCATAGTGCATTGTTAAATCTAATAGCTTACTGGGATAGCATACTTCATTTAATTTCTGATTTAGGGGTCACCAGGAAGAGGAAGCTATTCTAGGGCTGTACTTAGTCGGCAGTGACTCAAGGTTATCAGAAAGGTTGTGATGAAGCCTGAAAATGTACGAGATTTAAGTATCTGGGTTGGGCTCATCAGCATCAAGGGACGTAATTAGGGAATTAAGGAACAGTGAAGGGCTCAGCCACAACCAAAAGGTGTTGGTTTGAACCCGTGTAGTGGCTTTGTGGGAGGAAGACCAGCAATCTGCTTCCTTAAAAACTACAGCCAAGAAAACCCTATGGGCCGGCTCTGCTTTGTCACATGGGGTCACTATCAGTTGAAATTGACTTGATGGTACTTAACAATACATGAAGTGGAAATTAGAAGTAGACAAAAAATAGAAGAAGATGGTACAGCAGAGATAATGTGAAACAACAGAAACAGTGACTTAGACACCAGGAGGCAAGCAGGCAAGAACCATGGAAGCATGGATACCAAAAGACAAGGCAGAGTAAATTGGCCTCAATGAGAAGCAGAGGCGGCCATCTTTAGTAATACACGAGGCAATAAAATACATGAGAAGTGGTTGACGCCAGGATAACTTGATTATGAGGCAAATTGAAAAACCGAACTCACTGCCATTGAGTCATTTCCGACTCCTAGTGATCCCCATTGGGTTTCTGAGGCTGTAAATCTTCACAGAAGTCGATCACCCCATTTTCCTTCTGCAGAGCAGCTGGTGGGTTTGAACAGCTGAGCAGTTCAAGCAGTTAGCAGTCAAGTCCCTTATCCAGTGTGCCACCAGAGCTCCTTTTGAGGCAAATTACTGCCCAATTAAAAGGCTTCTGTTTACATTGTAGGATTTGGCTAAATCTAGTGGAGAGGCTGGCAGTGGGCATTAAGGAGACAGTTCTATAGCGAGTGTTTATTATGGACATTGTACATAATATACACTGTGTTATTTAGTCTTACTTCATTTATTCTTTATAAACATCTCTGAAATAGGTAATATTATTATCATTTTATGTATTAAAGAAACTGAGATTTCTAATCTAATCTATTTAGCCTATAAACAAAGCTCACAGTCTTTCCACTTTACTGTATTCTTTCCTTCAGGAAAATGGATATTTATAATCTGACAAATACTTTGTTCTGTTTATCTCTACCTCCCTTGAAATCAGGCAGTATCCTTTGTATTGTGCCTAAATTGGTGAAATGGGTGCCTTACGTAGAGGCATTATTAATGGGAAAACAATCTGGTTAAATTGAAGGCCAGTGCAGTTACAGCGTTATCTGGAAGATTTGTGGGAAACCCGAAAGAGACGCACCAGGGTGGTGGGGGGGTGAGGGGGCCTCCTGCACACCCAGGGATTAACCGAAGAATGGCTGTCTCAGGTAGGTTGAGACTGGTGGAGATGAAAAGGCAGTATTCTGGACCAATTCGCTGGTCTGTGGTGACTCAGTATGTATGGCATCCTAGTAGCTAAGGCCACAGTCCTTCTAGACATCTGCGTGAATCATTCCTAGTAAATGATACTAAGGAAAAAAAAACCCTATGACATTTTGTGGTTGATAAATATTACCAAAGTCCCCGCATTGTGTTTAGTGTTTATTTAGGCTCCCATTTAAATCCCTAGTAGTAATGTTTTCAGATTTTCTTGATTGTGTCGGACAAAGCTTTTAGGTCTCTATACATGTAAAAAATTACAATTAATATTTTTCATAGAAACTTTGGGCTCATTTTGGGGAGTCATTATTTGCTAGAAAAAATTCTGATTATGCTCACACAGCTGGTGTTTGAAAGCACAGGCAGCAGGCCAGTGTTGCACAGGCAGGAAGGGGAGTAGAGAGACGTTTAGTTCTTTCTGTTGTTCTTGCCATTGACAGCTCTTCCTTATCTCTTTTCTCCTCTTACCTAAGTGCTTAATAATACCCTTTTATGTCTCTTAACATAAATACAATTTTATTTTCTCAAAACCTCATTCTTCTGGTTTGATAATATAAATGAAACTTTGATTGGCTTAGTTGTTTAAAAAAAATCACCATATTTTTTCTTTCATAGATCATGAAGTGCTTTAAATGTTGATGGATGTTGTAATACTGTACTTTATTTTTAACACAAAAATTGGCCAGACAGGAAAAAAATTTGCCAGGAGAAATAATTTTGAAAAAGACAGATTGGCTTTTGCTGTAAGAAAGTACATAGAGACTTGAATTGTAGTGGCAAACAATTGTTTTATTTCTAAGCATCTGTAGACTGATGATTAGTTGATCTACAGTTTCAACATTTAAACAATATTAGGAAACTCGAAACTGGTATTTTATTCAAAATGGTTGATTATGTCATTGCTACCAGAGATGAGATAGTTAAATCTGTCAGACATATGAACAGGGAGCTGTTGCAAATAACAGCAATATTAAAATAATAGATTGTGGATGATTTCAGTTATTTTTAGAGTACATAATTGTTAATGTTATGTTTAGGCAATTGTGTTTATGAGTTGATGGTATTTATAAGCACTGTAAAAAGTACAAAGATAAAGGGCACTAAGCATTAATGCCACCACTCATATGTCAGTTTGTTGTACTGTGGTGGCTTGCATGTTGCTGTGAAGCTGGAGGGTATGTCACTGGTATTTCAAACACTAGCAGGGTCACCCGTGGTGGACAGGTCTCAGTGGAGGTTCCAGATGAACACAGACTGGGAAGAAGGATGGGACCATCTGCTTCTGAAAAAAACTGGCCATTGAAGACCTTATGAATAGCAGTGAAACACTGTCTGATATATTACTGGAAAACTTTATGAATAGCCATGAAACATTGTCTGATGTAGTGCCGGCCGATGAGCCCCTCAGGTCAGAAGGCACTCAATGTGACTTGGGAAGAGCTGCCTCCCCAAAGTAGAGTCGACCTTAATGATGTGGATGGAGTAAAGCTTTTGGGATCATCATTTGCTGATGGGGCAAAACTCAAAATGGGAAGAAACATCTCAAACATCCATTAATAATCAGAATGTGATGTATGAATCTAGGAAAAATGGAAGTAGTCAAAAATGAAAGGGAATGCATAAAGATTGATACCTTAGTCATTAGTGAGCTGAAATGTACTGGTATTGGTCATTTTGAATCAGTCATATGATCTACTGTGCTGGGAATTACAAATTCAAGGAAAGGTATTGCATTCATCATCAAGAAGAACATATCAAAATCTATCCTGAAGTACAGTGCTGTCAATGATAGGATAATATCCATATGCCTACAAGGAAGACGAGTTAGTACAACTATTATTCAAATTTACTCACCAAGCACTAAAGCCAAAGATGAACTTGAAGATTTTTACCGAATCTGCAGTCTGAAATTGACTAAATATGCAATCAAGATGTGTTGATACTTATTGGTGATTGGAATGTGAAAGTTGGAAACAAACAAGAATCACCAGCAGTTGGAAAATATGGCCTTGATGATAGAAATGACTCTGGAGATCACATGATAGAATTTTGCAAGACCAATGACTTACTTATCGCAAATAACCTTTTTTCAACAGCAAAAACGATGGCTATACATATGGACCTCACCAGATGGCGGACACAGGAATCAGATAGACTGCATTTGTGGAAAGAGGCAATGGAGAAGCTCAGTATCATCGGTCAAAACAAGGCCAGGAATTGACTGTGGAACAGACCATCAGTTGCTCATACTCATGTTCTAGTTGAAGTTGACAAAAATTAAGTCCATGAGAGCCAAAGTATAACTTTGATTATATCCTACCTGAATTTGGAGACTGTCTGAACAGTAGATTTGATGCACTGGTCACCAGTGGCTGAAGACCAGAATAATTGTGGGATGACATCAGGAACATACATGAAGAAAGCAAATGGTCATTAAAAAGACAGGAAAGGAAGAAAAGACCAAAATAGATGTCAGAAGAGACTCTGAAACTTGTTCTCAAATGGAGAGTAGCTAAAGCGAAAGGAAGAATTGTTGAAATAAAAGAGTTGAACAGAAGATTTCAAAGGGTGGCTTGAGAAGACAAAGTAAAGTATTATAATGAAATGTGCAAAGACCTGGATTTAGAAAACCAAAAAGGAATAACACATGCAACATTTCTCAAGCTGAAAGAACTGAAGAAAAAATTCAAGGCTCCAGTTGCAATATTGAATTCTATGGCAATATATTGAACGATGCAGGAAGCACCAAAAGGAATACAGAGTCACTGTATCAAAAAGAATTGGTCGATGTCCAGCTGTTTCAGGAGATAGCATGTGATCAAGAATCAGTGTATTGAAGGAAGAAGACCAAGCTGCACTGAAGGAACTGGCAAAGAACAAGGCTCCAGGAATTGATGGAATACCCATTGAGCTATTTCAACAAACGGATGCTGCCCCGGAGGCACTCACTCAGTTATGCTAATAGATTTGGAAGACAGCTAGCTACCTGGCCAACGACTAGAAGAGATCCATATTTGTACC